AGAGTAATGAACGTATCAGGATGGAAGGAAAAGACCATGGACAGAACAGGATGGAGGCACGTTGTCTTGGAGGCCAAAGCCCACCCCGGGCTGTAGCGCCAGTAGTAAGTAAGGTAACATGCGCCTATTTTCGGAAAAAAGCCTAAAAAAACCATAACATCGCGATTATTTCTCCAGGACCTCCGATAACCGATTTCGAAATTGTGGTTTTTAGTATCTGGTAGTGCTCCTCTTGACATTCCAGCTCAAATTTTTAAGTTACAACCAACTTCAATTTGAACCCCTTTCAAGAGCACTGTGCTGGGTAGACTTGACTGTTTGCTACTAGGGAAAACTGTCCACAGACACAGCATTTGAAAAAGCATGTTAAAAAATACGCAATTTGCACACTAGGCGGTACATTTCAGACTTTTCTGATGTACTTAACATGATTTTTGTAAAATTATACAGGCAGCAAGTCTATTTACTTGGCTGTAACTCTTACATGCAACAAATTCATTGAAAAATGCACTAATAAGAATTATAGGTAGCCTCTACTGGAAATACAGAAGATTTTGATTTCTTCAGATATTGACAGTCTTCGCATACATTCAAAGAATTACTTACAGTTAAAAAATACTTTGCTACAATTTAAGGAAAGTCCCCTTTTTTGCTAAATCCAAATTCCAAAATTTTCGAACAGACCACTAGACAAGGTGCGAATTTAAGCATTCTGGTAGAAGTTTCCTTACCAAAATTATACGTAGAGCATGATTTCCACGAAATGACTGAAAGTAACTTCTATCTTATGGAGAGACTCGCCGATTTCCACCATCGATAAAGATCAAAAATTACTGCTTAATTACGCCTTATCTGTGATTCTGGTTTCAAAACAATTTTGAAACAAATCTGACCATTTCAAAATTAGCTAAAGTTGGACAAAACCTCATTGGACTTGACAAGATTCCATTGTTGTTTTATGTGTATGATGACAGTATTGCTGAAACATGCTTTTCAATTGAATTGGATAAATAGGAAGAAACAAATCTAACTTTTGCTCCATGAACTAATCAAGAATCTAGCTTCATAAACGTTCTAACGAATTGAAAATAGCAGTAATTACAGAATTAATGACTAAATTATCACTTGGTTGATATATGTACCGCATCCAAACAAAAATTTTGTCAAACTTTAGAAGCTTGACTATGAAACTTTCTGTCAAAAGCTTCCATCTATTTTTTTACATCCTGCCTTCCTTTCAAAATAGTCTGAATCAAATTGAGCAAGGATATTATTAGTTCACGCAACAAAGATGAGAAACAAGAAAGAAGGGGAAAAATGAGACCACCAACAGGAACAGAAATAACCATTAAGATTTACCTAGGGAGCATAGGTCTCTAGTCCGGGGACTGTAACGAATCATACGAGCTTTGTCTAGCTGTTTGGCTGCACATTCAATTAGCTCACCACGTTTAATTAACAACATTGGATCACTCTGTAACAATGAAAAAGATAATCTGTTACAGGGATACACTAGAAAAGAGACTGTCCCATTTTCCATAGGAAATGGCCGCAAGAGATTTTACATCCATACTTTCAGGAATCATAACGGATCATTGGATAGGCCTAAATCCGGTGTCCTTTCCCGTCTAGCCATCCAACCGGCGAGGGGGAGGGGGTCAAAGGTCAAACGCACAGACCGCTATAACTATTGAATGAAACAAAGGATCAACTTGATCTTGGGCTCAAATGAAAGCTCCCAACAAGATCTTTCATATTATGTATAATAATGTCTGTTTTTGGTAATTTTTCAATGGGAAAAAATCATTGTTTGATTTTTCAAGCCCAAAAAATTCAGTTCTTCGGGTTTTTCTATCAAAGGGAACGCATGAATCATTACAAAATCCAATTTAAATGAAAGTCCTTGATTCAAGCTTTAAAACGAGCTATTGTTAAACTTGGGGAAATACTTTGTTCAAAAGTTATGACTGTTCAAAGTTGGCGTGGCGCGCTATTTCAAAGCGCACAGAGTGTATACTTGCATGCCATCCCTCCCTACCTTTTCCCCTGGGGCCCACTTCAGCTGATAATGGATACAGGAAGGTCCAAAGCTCCTTCCACTTCCACCTAAAGAATGACGAATCATTAGTGTAAAATTTCTTATATTTATAACGAAAAAAGGGAAATAAAAATAAATTAAATGCTAATAAACGATAAGATGCTGGCATACATTATTTTTTCGCCCCCCCTCCCCTCCATGATTTAATATTTAATGGCCAAATCAAGCTTCTTTTACTGCAAAATACACTCAAAAGCTGTAGATAATAGTCATAGGCTGTAGTACGCAACTAGCCGACCAGCACTTGAAACTCGCAATTACTACTGAATATCTCTCCCTCACCTCTCTAAGATCTATTCCCCTCTCATAAAGATTTACCTGCACAGGAATAATCATATACCGCAATGATGAGAGGCTTGATTTGGCTATTAATTATTAAATCATGGAGGGGGGTTGCGAAAAAATAAGGTATGCCAGCGTCTTATCCTTTATTAGCATTTAATTGATTTTTATTTCCCTTTTTTCGTTAGAAATAAAAGTAATTTAACACTAATGATTCGTCATTCTTTAGGTGGAAGTGGAAGGAGCTTTGGACCTTCCTGTATCCATTATCAGCTGAAGCGGGCCCCAGGGAAAAGGTAGGGAGGGGTGGCACGCAAGTATACACTCCGAGCGCTTCGAAAAAAGCACGCCATGCCAACTTTGAAAGGTCATGACTCTTGAATCAAGTATTTCCCCAAGTTCACCAATAGCTCGTTTTAAAGCTTGAATCAAGGACTTTCATTTAAATTGAATTTTGTAATGATTCATGCGTTCCCTTTGATACATATAGAAAAACCCGAAAAACTGAATTTTTTGGGCTTGAAAAATCAAACAATAATTTTATTCCAATTGAAAAATTACCAAAAACAGACATTATTATACATAACATGAAAGATCTTGTTGAGAGCTTTCATTTGAGCCCAAGATCAAGTTGATCCGTTGTTTTGTTCAAAAGTTATGGAAGGATGTTGTTACATTGTCAAGCTTGTAAATAAAAATCTGATAAGTATAAGGATGAAGAGCGCTACTCTTAACAATCCTTAAAGTTCCAAGGGCTTATTTTAAAGATGCATTGAAGTCGATTACTGATAATTGAAGCAAGCTGTAAATATTGAGGGACTTATCTAAAGCAGGTGTATGTCGAATACAAATTAGTTGCTGATGTAATTTTTTTATTTATTTTTCTGTTTTTTTCTTCCCATAGTCATATTTTTTTTATTTTAAGGGAGCAAGTATACTTGATCCCAGATTGAGAACCTTATCGGATGCAAAAAGTGGATACCAATCAAATAAAAGTACAGATTGACTGGACTATTGATGCTTTTTCTTTTATTTCATTCATAGGATAAATGATCTGAGAAGAAACTAATTCAAAAATAACAATGCCTTTCAAAATGCAACAAGATAATACATACTTCAACATCTTCGTAGTTTAAACCATAATGAAGTGGATTTTTGCGCATCCGAACAAAAAGGTACGTATAACTTAACCACTCGATAGCTTCTTCAATGTTTGTGACGGTATTCAGTGCGACCTGAAAAACGAGTAAGATCTAATGACAAATAGAAAATATAAAAACTTCATCAGAACTGAATGCTGCATTGTCGAATAGAAAATACATCAATTTAAATTTAATTAAATTAATTAAATTTTATTTCATTATTATTGCACACGACCAAGGTACAAAGTTCACCTTTCAACAGTTATGTGCACGATTGCCAATGCCAGGACAATGCCAGGATCAAATTCTACAGGACGACGGACCAGTCTTTTGGGAAAAGTGGGCCCGGTTAAATCTGCTGGTTTTTTGATATGTTGTAGGTCTTACCCTACTGAGCAAAAGTGTCAGTGGGAGTTTCTTCCAGTTTACCCCCCGAAAGTTTTACCCCCCATCTCGAAGTTTTACCCCCCATTTTGGGGGTCAAAGTTTGTCTATCTGCAATGACACTAGTCAGAAGTTTATAGAGGCATGTTATCGGCATGTAGTTTTTTGCCTCTTCTGTTCTCTTGTTCGTTGGGAACAGAAAATTTCCTCCTTTTATCAGTCACATAGATATTCTTGCTTTCCTTTCTATTAAGTTGTTGAAACATTGAGCTAAGTGTTTGTGGGTTGCGTTAAATCTTTTGATCCAGTAGTTCTGTAAACCATCAAAGCCTTTAAAGTTCTAGCTACTGCCATGATTTAGCTAGCGACAGTGGACAGGTAGTCCAGATCACCCAGTATTATGATTTTGCAGGTAAAGGACGACGGACCGGTCTTATGGGAAAAGTGGGCCCGGTTAAATCATAAAGTGTCAACGGGCGTTTCTTCCTATTTCGAAGTTTCACCCCCCATTTTGGGGGTCAAAGTTGCCAATTCAGCGTATAATTAGTAGTTTTGACACCCGAGTTTGTTGGTCGCCCATAAGATTCTTGAATGGTTTTTTGAGTCTATTGTATTCTCTGAACAGGCTAGAGGCCATCCGAATTAAAAAACTGAACAAATTTGCCTTATGGGGAAGGGGGGTGTGTTTACACCACCGATTTCAGAGTCGGCGAGTCGCATTGAACCGATTCTTTTGCCATGTTTTGGATAATTTTTTATGCAAATGATTGCGACTGCATCTTGAAGGGTCGACTAAGATGCAGCTCAGAATATATCCCCGGGCAGGGGGGGGGGGGGGGAGACTGAACTCGAGCAGCGAAACTGGCTTGCGCGGGTCGGATCAAACCAATGCTTCTACCATGTTTTGGCTTTTTATGCAATGACTCAGGCTGCTTCATGAAAGGTCGGTAATTCTAGAAGTTAATCGACAAGCTCAGTCAATATACCCCCCCCCTCCCTCGAGGGGCGGAGGGGGGCGAAAGTGCGCGACCGAACTCGGGCAGCGAAACTGGCTTTCGCGAGTTGCATCAAACCGATGGTTTCGTCATGTTTTGGAGACTTTTTTATCCCAATGAAGCAGACTGCATTTCGAAAGGTCGACTGAGATGGAGCACGAATACGCTGTAAGAGAAAGGAGGCTCTCTCAATCAGCACCCTCCGACGCAATAGGATCTCTCAGCATAGGTCAGTGTGGCACTGACACTTGTGTAGTGACACTTCTTAACATGGCTAGTCCGATTAAGACATCATACCATTTAATGCATCATTCAATTTTCAGCATATCCTGATGCATCTTAGAATTTTGGTGAGGGGAAGGGTTAGTTACTTTTGAAAAGAAAAGAAAAACAAGACGACGGTCCCAACATTAAGACGTTGGAGAGCGTTCACCGTAGCACCTCGTCAATATGTAAAAGTGGTTTTGCTGCTGGACGGAAGAGACGCTGCAAGACGCTGTTGAACTAAGCGTGGAGCGATAACCTAGGAAACCTACATATATACAAGAAATGTCTTGTCATCATAGAGTAAAATATAGGGGTCATTAGTAAAGAGGTACTTTTTACCCAAAAATTTCTCTAGAACTACGACGATAAAAAATATGAACGATGCTTGAAAGAGTTATTAAATAAAAGTACGGTGCAGAGTTTTAAAATGTAAAGATATTAATATTCTCAAAGACAGAGCCTACAGGCATTACATAAAGTGGACAAAATAGGAGAAAAAAGGTAGAAATGGTACATAAATAAAATTGAGAAACTAGGTATTGCTTCCCGCCACGAAAAATGACGCCGATTCCCATGGAACAGTGCAGGCCTTTACCAATGGATCCATCAGTAATATACCCGCTGCAAAACGACGGGAAAGAGCGTACACTACTAACATGGTGAACTCTCAATATTAGGAACAAGAAATACATGACTTTGTTTTTTTCTTAGATTTTCTGATTACGTAAAAAAATCTCAGCAAGCTCGCCTCATCAAGTGGCTCACCCAGGCCTTTCAAATTGGGTACCCAGGGAGCAACAGTCTTATAAAAATAGAACATGATAATGCGAGAATTATTCAAATATTGCATTGGATAAAGGAGCTTTTCTTGGGGAAAAATTACAAGTCATATGTTTTGAAACCCTTAGATATAAATTACAATACTTAATTTCAGTGCTGCTTAAAATCCTCTCTTTTTCCCCAATTGTACTGTAATATTCACGAGCTTTTTTATCTACTTGCACCTTAAAGTCGCAATGGGACGGTATTTGGGGTGGCTCTGACATGAGGCAGGTAGTGTCAGGTGATTTAAAAGAAATTGAATCAAGCAGAGCCATTCTTTTTTATTCTCGACTCTCGAGGCCAGAGGCGATTGGCTTGATTATGAAACGGTTGACATTCTGCAAAAGTTTTTAAAACGCGATAATGTAATGCGCGATTTCATTTAAAAAATCACCTAAATGATATATTTCTGAAATTAACCCACGCAACACCATATAGCCTGAGCCAAGGAATCATCTACACCATTAGCTGTCGCTTACAGAAATATTGTGACCGCTTACAGAAATATTGTGAAATATTGTGTACGGTGTGAGTGTGATGTGTGATGTGTGTGTGAAAAGCGTGTCAGCTAAAAATGATCCTAGGAAATATATATGAGTGATGGTGGTGGTGAAAAGTGCCACTATACTAGTGTCAGTGCCACACTGACCTATGCTGAGAGATCCTATGGCGTCGGAGGGTGCTGATTGAGAGGGCTCCTTTCTCTTACAGCGTATTCTGTGCTCCATCTCAGTCGACCTTTCGAAATGCAGTTGGCCTCATTGGGATAAAAAAGTCTCCAAAACATGACGAAACCATCGGTTTGATGCAACTCGCGAAAGCCAGTTTCGCTGCCCGAGTTCGGTCGCGCACTTTTCGCGGGGGGGGGGG